GTTGATTCTTGGGAACCTCCCCTATCACAGATGCTCCCTATACTGCCACCCTCTCCAGATGGAGTTTTCCATTCATTCTTATGGCCATCTGGCCTGTCTCTCCCCAGAACTGATCTTGAATCTTCCCCCCATCCCCCTACCTATCCCTTCTCCCACTCAGTTCTCTCTCTCCATCTGCCTCCAACGTCTATTTTATTCCCCCTTCTAAGTTAAATGCAAGCGTCCTCACTTAGGCCTTCCTTCTTTGGATCTGTGGAGTGTAGCTTGGGTATCCTGAATTTTATGGCTACTATCCACTTACAAGCAAGTACATACCATGCATGCCCTTTTGGGACTGGGTTGGCTCACCCAGGATGGTATTCTTAAGTACTATCCATTTGCCTGCTAAATTCATGATGTCTTTGTTTTTAATAGCTGTTTAGTATTCTATTGTGTAGAGGTACCAAATTTTCTTTATTCATTCTTCAGTTGGAAAACATCTAAGTTGTTTCCAGTTCTGAGTATTATGAATAAAGTTGCTGTGAACATAGTTGAACAAGTGTCCCTGTGGTATATAATGGGGTATATTTTGGATATATAGTCAGGAGTGGTACAGCTGGGTCTTTAGGTAGAACTATTCTGAGTTTTCTGAGAAATCACCAAATTGATTTCCAAAGTGGTAGTACAAGCTTGCACTCCCACAAGCAATGGAGAAGTATTCCCCTTTCTCCACATAATCTCAAGCATGAACTCTCACTTGAGTTTTTGATATTAGCCATTCTGTAAGATGGAATCTCAGAGTTGTTTTGATTTGCATTTCCCTGATGACTAAGGACTTTGAACATTTCTTTCAATGTTTCTTGCCCATTTGAGATTCCTCTGTTGAAAACTCTCTGTTTAGCTTTGTACCCCATTTTGTAATTGGATTATTTGGGTTGTTGGTGTCTAACTTCTTGAGTTATTTATAAATTTTGGATATCAGATGTAGGGTGGATGAAGATCCCTTCCCAATCTGTAGGCTGCTGTTTTTCCCTAATGAATATTTTTTACCTTACAGAAGCTTTTCAGTTTCATGAGGTCCCATTATCAATTGTTGATCATAGAGCCTGAGCCACTGGTGTTATGTTCAGGAAATTGTGTCCTATACCAATGAGTTGAGGGCTATTCTCACTTTCTGTTCTATTAGATTTAATGTATCTAGTTTTAAATTGAGTTCTTTCGTCCACTTGGACTTGAGATTTTTATAGGGTGATAGATATGGAACTATTTGTATTCTTCTACATAGAGACATCCAGTTAGACCAGCACCATTTGTTGGAAGATGCTTTCCTTTTTTCCATTGTATGGTTTTGCCTTCTTTATCAAAAATCAAGTGTCCATAGTGTTTGAGTTTATTTCAGGGTCTTCAATTCAATTCCACTAATCAATATGTCTGCTCCTGTACCAATACCATGCAGTTTTTATTACTATTGCTCTGTAGTACAGCTTGGAGTCAGGGATGGTGATACCTATAAATGTTCTTTTATTGTTCAGGATTTTTTTGCTACCCTGGGTTTTTTATTTTTCCATATGAAGTTGAGAAATTGTTCTTTCAATGTCTATAAAAGTTATGTTGGAATTTTGGTGAGAATTGCATTGAATTTGTAAATTGCTTTTGGTAAGATGGCCATTTTCACTATGTTAATCTTACCAACCCATGAGCATGAGAGACCTTTCTGTCTTCTGAGATCCTCCTTGGTTTCTTTCTTCTTGAAATTCTTGTCATATAGGACTTACACTTGGTTGGTTAGAGTTAGTTACACCAAGATATTTTATATTATGTCTGGCTATTGTAAAGGTTGTTGTTTTCCTAGTTTCTTTCTCAGCCCATTTATCCTTTGTATATACAAGGGCTTGAGTTAATTTTGTATCCAGCCACTTTGCTGAAGGTGTTTATCAGCTGTAGTTCTTCTCTAGTAGAATTTTAGGGATTGCTTATGTATGCTAGCGTATCATCTGAGAATAGTGGTACTTTGACTTCTTTCCAATTTGTATCCCTTTGATCTATCATTGTCTTATTGCTCTGGCTAGAACATCAAACACTATATTGAATAGGTAGGGAGAGAGTGGACAGCCTTGTCTTGTCCCTGATTTTAGTGGAATTGCTTCAAGTTTCTCTCCATTTAACTTGATGTTGGCTTGCTTTATTTTGCTTTTATTATGTTTAGGTATGTGCCTTGTATCCCTGATATCTCTAATACTTTTAATATGAAGGTATGTTGAATTTTGTCAAAGACTTTTTCATTATCTAATGAGATGATCATGTAATTTTTTTTCTTTCAGTTTGTTCATATGGTAGATTTCACTGATTGATTTTTATATATTGAACCATCCTTGTATCACTGGGATGAAGCCTACTTGATCATGGTGGATGATGTTTTTGATGTGTTCCTGGATTCAGTTTGTGAGAATTTTATTGAGTATTTTTGCATGGATATTCATAAGCAAAATTAGTCTGAAGTTCTCTTTTCATGATTTTAACAGAGAAATATATAGACTTAACAATTAAGCTGTGTAAATCATAAACGACAAAAATAAATATCCGCAAGGACATGGTTGTTTTTATCACTTAATAAAGTGAATGAATGAAGATGGAAGTTGGAGTGGGAGGTATTAGGAATTCTATCATACCCCTCTCCCTGCCATAGCGTGAGTGCATAGGTTTTCTGGTGTTTCTGTGTAGTTGAAGACCAGCTTTAATCCACGGTGCTCTGATAAGATACAAAGTGTTATTTCATTTTTCTCCTATCTGTTGAGGCTTGCTTTATGACTGGCTATATAATCAGTTTTGGAGAAGGATCTGTGAGGTGCTGAGAAGGTATATTCTTTTGTGTTTGGGTGCAATAGTCTGTAGATATCTGTTAGGTCCATTTGATTCATAATGTGTGTTAGTTTCATTATTTCTTGGCTTAGATTTTGTCTGGATGACCTGTCCATTGGTGAGAGTTGAAGTTTCCCACTATTAAGGTGTGGGGTTCAATGTGTGATTTAAGCTTTAGCAGTGTTTCTTTTACAAATGTGGGTGCCCTTGAGTTTGGGGCATAAGTGTTCAGAATTGAGATATCATCTTGGTAGATTTTGCTTTTGAGTATGGAGTGTCCTTCCCTGTATCTTTTGGTTAATTTTGATTGAAAGTCTATTTTATTAGATATTAGAATGGCTACTTAATCTTGCTTCTTGGGTCTGTTTGCTTGGAAAACTTTTTTCCAGCCCCTTACTCTGAGGTAATGTCTATCTTTATTGCTGAGGTGTGTTTCTTGTATGCAGTAGAATGATGGATCCTGTTTTTACATCCATTCTGTTAGCCTGTGTTTTTTTTATTGGGGAATTGAGTCCATTAATGTTGAGAGATATTAATGACCAGTGATTGTTATGTGTTATTTTGTTGTTTGGATGTTGTTGGTGGTAGTGTGTGTGTGTGTGTGTGTGTGTGTGTGTGTGTTTGCTGGCATGGAATTACTTATTTGCTATGTTTTCTTAGATGTAGTTATCCTCCTTGAGTTAGAGTTTTCCTTCTAGTATTTTCTGTAGGGCTTGATTTGTGGATAGATATTGTTTAAATTCAGTTTGTCTTGAAATACTTTTTTTTCTCCGTCTATGGTGATTGAGTTTAGGTTGGCATCTGTGCTTTTTTAGAGGTTGCAAGGTACAGACTCTTCGAGATTTTAGAGTTTCTGTTGAAAAGTCATGTGCAATTTCAGTAGGTCTGCCTTTGTATGTTACCTAACCTTTTTCTCTTGCTGCTGTTAGTATTCTTTCTTTGTTCTGTAGATTTGTGTTTTGATTATTATATGATGGGAGGATTTTCTTTTCTGGTCTAGAATAATTCGTCATCTCTAAGCTCCTTGTATGTTTATAGGCATTGCTTTCTTTAGATTGGAAAAGTTTTCTTCTGTGATTTTGTTGAGAATATTTTCTGGGCCTTGGAGCTGGGACTCTCCACATTCTTCTATTCCTATAATTAGGTTAGGTCTTTTCATAGTATGCCAGATTTCCTGGATGTTTTGTGTCAAGAATTTTTTTAGCTAACATTTTCTTTGACTGATATATCAATTTCTTTTATTGTATCTTCTATGCCTGAGAGTCTCTCTTTCATCTCCTGTATTCTGTTGGTGATGCTTGCATCTGTTGTTCCTGTTCCCTTCCTTAAGTTTTCCATCTCCAGTATTCTCTCAGTTTGTGTTTCCTTTATTGCTTCTATTTCCGTTTTCAGGTTTTGAACAGTTTTATTTATTTCTTTTACCTGTTTAATTGTATTTTTTCTGTATTTCTTTAAATGATTTGTTTCCTCTTTAAAGGCCTCAACCCATTTGATTGTATTTTCTTGTATTTCTTTAAGGGATTTATTAATTTTATCTTTAAGGACCTCTATCATCTTTATAAGATTGGACTTAAGGTTATTTTCTTGTGCTTTGGTTGTATTTGGATATCCAGGCCCTGCTGTAGTTGGGTAGCTATGTTCTGAAGGTGTCATATTGTCCTGTATTTTGTTGATTGTGTTCTTTCAAGGGCTTTAGCCATTTTGATGGGTTTAGTCCCTGGATGTTCCTGTTGTAGTAGGTATTGGGTGGCAACCTAACCTTGATGATCCTGGTGTGGCAAGCCTCTGATGGGTATCCTTGGGCTGTATGTTTCCAGATCAGCAGGTCAGGTGGTTTGAGAGGTAGCAGGAGAATGGGGGTGCATTGAGGATAGCACGTGGCTCAGGACAAATGGGGGTATCTCAGAAGATTCTGGAGGCAAGGAAGATGGGAGCAGGAAGGGAATCTATGCTGTATGCCTCTGGATCAGCAGGTCTGAAGGTGGGAAGAGAGGTGGTGAGAGTATCTAAAGTTGGATTCTTTTCCTTCTTCCTTATTCAATGTCACATGTTACTTTTTTTGAGAAATAAGAGGAATTGAAGCCAATAGATGTAGAAAGAAAGGATTATAAGTAATCAAGGGATCCCATTTTGAATCTAACCTTTGTTCTGTTTATTCTTAGGGCCTGCTCTCTTTTCTGAGTGCTCCACTCATAGGCGCGCTCTCTGATGTCTGGGGCAGGAAGCCTTTTCTCCTTGGCACGGTCTTCTTTACCTGCTTCCCTATCCCACTAATGAGGATTAGCCCATGGTGAGTTGCTGAACTCTTCACTATCATACTGGTGTGTTTTCAGTCCGATGTAAATAAAATTATGTTGGCCGCTGTTCCTAATCCAAATATTCAAAAATGTGAAATGATCCCAATATTTTTGAGCACTGATGTAACACAATTATGACTGGGTCAAATGTATACAAACTTTACCTCATCATAATGAACAGGTATTTTAAAAAATGAAATTTTTTTCAATTTCAAATATTGTGTAAAATGACTTTTAGACTATGCGTATAAGGATTATGTATAGAATATGAATAATTTCTATTTTATATTTGGGTCTTATGCTTAGGATAGCTCATCATATACATGCAGAATTCTAAAAGGAGAAAAAATCCAAAACATCCAAATCCCAATCATTTATGAACTCAGCCTTTATCTTAATCTGCAGAATATTCTTTAACCATTTCAAAATAAGCTACTTTACTTGAAGAAATTCAAGGTGTCTTTAAGAGCAGCAGGTATGTCATGATACCAGTTGTAGGGGGTCAGTGCTAAAAGTGTGCTAACAGTTCCTGCCCTCACAACTGTGGCTTGGTTGACTTTGTGAATGTACTGTTTTTGTCATCTCATTGCATTGTGGCACTAGTGAGCATTATTTCACTTGTACAGTCCATAAAGACCATTAGCTTATTCTAAAACATGATATGAATTTAATCAATTTTTCTCCTTCAGGATAGTGAATCCAGATGATTTAATTATCTTAGAGGAGTTAGGATTTTCTCAAGCTTCTTTTTTTTTCCTTGTTTTAATTTTAATATTTTTTAGACCATGGGATAGTAACTTAGCCAGTATTTGACAGAAGCCATCTAGGAAAGGCTATGGGAAACAAGTGAGTTTCCTCGAGATGGCCCACCAGCTTGCATGGCTGAATGGGTGCACTCTGGAGGAGTACAGCCCAGAGACTTCATTGCTTCTCACTGCTGATGTGTTTTTCCTGCCACTATCACATAGCCTAGTGATTCCAGGTCATCAGCCCACCCTATTGGGCAAATTTCCTTCAGATCAACATAAAGATGAACTTGGATGAATTAATGCTGTTTAGATGAATTAATGACTTCATCAAATTCCTGATTTGATTAAAATAATTTTAAGAAGAAAGTTTTTTTTTGTGGGGGGGGGGGAGACAGGGTTTCTCTGTATAGCCCTGGCTGTCTTGGAACTCACTCTGTAGACCAAGCTGGCCTCGAACTCAGAAATCCACCTGCCTCTGCCTCCCAAGTGCTGGGATTAAAGGCGTGCACCACCACTGCCTGGCTTTTCCTTTTTTTTAAATTGGATATTTTCTTTATTTACATTTCAAATGTTATCCCCTTCCCTGTTTCCCCTCTGCAAACCTCCTATCCCATCCCCCTTCCCCCTGCTTCTATGAGGGTGTTCACCCACTCACCCACTTCCGCCTCTCTGCCCTGGCGTTCCCCTACACTGGGGCATCCAGCCTTCACAGGACCAAGGGCCTCTCCTTTCACTGATGCCCAACAAGGCTATCGTATGCTACATATGCAGCTGGAGCCATGGGTTGCTTCATGTGGACTCTTTGGTTGGTTGTTTGCTCCCTGGAAGCTCTGGGTGGGGGGTGGGGGGGTCTGGTTGGTTGATATTGTTGTTCTTCCTATGGGGTTGCAAACCCCTTCAGCTCCTTCAGTCCTTTCTCTTAACTCCTCCACTGGAGACCCCGTGCTCAGTCCAATGCTTGGCTGTGAGCATCTGCCCCATTCACCAAATGTGTATATCTGTCTATATGTGTGCATGCATGATATGTAGGTATATGTGTATGTATATAAGTATGTTATGTACACTTGTGAAACTGATAAAACAGATGGTCAGGCCCAGCCAGTGTGTGAGTGTGTGTTTGTGTGTGTGTGCACGCGCGCGTGTACGCACATGTGTGCGCGTGCATGACTGACTTTTGTTCTTTATTTTTCTTTCTCTCTGAAAATTCCAAAAGTCATTTTTGGCCCCAGAACAGTAAGAGTTAAATTGCCAGAAGCTGTCAGCTTCAGGCCACCAGAACAGTAAGAGAGTTACATGTCCAGAAGTCATCAGCCTTTGGCCTGCATCCTAGCTCTGTCTCACCTCCATACCAGAATGCCGGGGCTGGGCCCTGGCAAGTATTCTTGGTGCTGAAATGCTCTACCTATGAGAAAATACATTCATATGGTTATCAGGAATTCTTGTTAATATTTGTAAATTTGTTGTCTACCATAATAATTTTATCTTCTACCACATAATTAATTTTTGCAAAATACTAACATGTCATGCTTTTCTAGTGAGAGATTTATTTTTAAAAAAATCTTGTTTGCTAGTTTAAATTATTCTATTCATGTTGCCAGTCTTTTGTCTTGGTGTATTAATATCATCTGAAAATAATTTTACCTCATTCCTTCTAGTTTTATGTATTCACTGCTTTTAAAATTTTTATTAGCTAATAAATAATGTTTAATTAAAATGATTATGGGTTGTTTTTCAATTTTGTAAAGACTTGTAATTTTTCTTCATTAGGCCTCAAGTTAGCTTTTTCTTTTCTTTCTTCTCCTTTCTTTCCTTTTTATTTAAAACTTTTATTCTTCTTTCATTCTTTTTTTTTGCATTTTTGCCAACATGTACTCTCACTATTGTCAAAATTCCAGTTAATCACACGCACAGATACCTGAGTCTATTTTCATTAGGGTATAATATTTACATGGTTATCTTTTACTTTGATTACAAAACTCTCTTGGGAAATTTAAATAGTCTTTCAGTTGGTAGAAGATGATATCATTAATCATTTTCTTTCTAAAACAATCTTTTTATAGGTGGTATTTTGGCATGATTTCTGTATCTGGAGTCTTCTCAGTCACTTTCTCTGTAATTTTTGCCTATGTAGCCGACTTCACTCAAGAGCACGAAAGAAGTACTGCTTATGGATGGGTAAGATAGTAAACTTTTTGTTTGTTTGTTTGTTTGTTCGTTTGTTTGATTTGAAACAAAAACATATAGGCCCAGTTGACTTCAAACCCTTTCATAGTCTCTTGAGGGCTGGTATTATGGGTGTTTAGTAATTTACCTGTCTTAGAAATTTTTGTTACTTTGAGACCTGTCTTAGATTCAGTTAAGTATCTTGAGCTTTAGATCCTCCTCCCTCTACTTTCAGAGGGCTAGGATTGCAGGCATCCATCATAAAGCCAAGCTTGCAGACTTTCTAAAAACTAGAAAACTAGAGTAATAATTACCATTTTATTAAAAATTGACTGGAAATTGAGGTTTAAAATAACATCAGAAATAGATTTGAGAAATGTGAGGATCTCAACAGTGTGTCTCGGGCACTCATTTGAGACATAACACTAAAGGGGGAAAAAGGCTATTCACTTGGCAGATAGTTGTTGAATAAATAGGAGACATTTATTTTTTTGATAATTTGATATTATACAGTCTCATTCTCTCAGTTGATATTAGACAATCTCATTCTCTCAGCATGATGATGATACTATAGTTACAAAGGGGAAGAAAGAACTATAGAAAATGTCAGCAGAAACATTTTTTGGGTCAGAAGTGCAGAAGGTCACATTCAAGGTGGGCTGTGTTAGCCATCAGATCTGTGAAAAGCACCAAAACTCTGTACCTCATAGTGCATCTTTCTGCTCCATATTTTCTATCATGGGAAATGGCTATGGACATACTAACTTCCCTGTAATGTTATTAGACTATAAAATATTAATAGATACATGGAAACATAAAGCTTATACATATTAATGGAAGATGTAAGGTTGATGCACGTTCTTTATATAATATCTGATTGGTTAGACATTTTGTTTTTTTTTTTTAAAGGTTAAATTTTTTCTCCTTTCTGGCATTTATTCTCTCTCTCTCTCTCTCTCTCTCTCTCTCTCTCTCTCTCTCTCTCTTTCTCTCTCCCCCCATCCCGTGTGTGTGTGTGTGTGTGTGTGTGTGTGTGTGGGCACGCGAGCCCACACACCATTGCATGCATGAGATATAGTCAGAGATCAGTTTTCTGAAGTCACTATTCTGTCATGTCCTTAGAATCAAACTCAGGTTCCCAGAACTGTACAGCAAACACCTTTAGCTGCTGAGCCATCCTGCTAGTCCCATTTATCTTTTCCTTATGATCAAGGCAAAAGTGCTTCTGTGCTGATTATAGGAAGGGTTTTGATAGTCACCAGAAGTGACTTTCGCTTAATTTGATTAATTACTTAATCTCCAGCTCAGTTTCTTGTTATAAAAAGGCAGTTAGGATTAGTACTTACTCATGGGACCTGGCAAGAAGCCGGTAAGTGAACATCTCAGCTAATACAGTGTAATTCTGAAGAGTGATCTGTTCAGCTCCTGCAGCTCAGCAGTAGGCAACTGGGTTTATCTCAGACCTAGCACCTTTGCCAGTAACCTCCTTACAGCCTATCTTACAGAGAGTTTACTGCCAATTATTTTCAGGATGTGTTAATTAAATTCTAAAGGGCATTTTTGATATTCAGGTTAGATTAAAATATCCTTCTGAAACTGTGCTGTAACTGCTTATCTTTGACTATCTTAGAACTAAATAGGACTCAGGTTATTTTATTTGGCTTTGACAATTACTGGGGGTAGGGGGTAACCCCTAATCTGCACCATGAAAAGCACTGTGAGGAGATATGGACAATCAGCAGTGGCCAGGGGAACAGCAAGTATCTGGGGTACACCGCTGGGGAGGTAGCCAGGCCAGCAGTTAGAAAAGTAGATTAGGGGTTCCCCCCAGTAATTGTCAAGCCAAATAAAATAACCTGAGTCTCATTTAGTTCTAAGATAGTCAACCATAGTCTGAGTCTCATTTATTTGTAGGCTAGTCAGGGATAAGCTTAAGTTGGTTCTACTACATGAAACTCCTTCAGGGAAACCAAGAGTTTCTTTTTATATATATATATTTTTTGCACATGTCTGTTTTCCAATTAAACAAACAATGACAGTGAATGTTTTATGAGGAGAGTTTCTACAGTGTTAATTTCTATTATATTTTAATCATTGCTCCCCAGCATATCTTCACATAGTTAACAGTGTGAGAATACTTTTTAAGCAAAACTGCTTTTCTTCTTTTTAATTCTTAAAATTTATATGGAACACATTTGTCTTGCTGAAACCAAGAGAGGAGACTAGAGAGATGGCTTAGCAATTAAGAGTAGTTAGTTGTTCTTATAGAGGATTCAGGTTTGATTCCCAGAACCCACATGGTAGCTCATAACCAACCATAATTTCAGTTCTTCTGACCTCTGTGGGTAACAAGCATGTACATGGTGCTTAGATATTCAATCATAAAATAAATTAAAAAACAAAACAAAATGAGAGGATACTTGCAGCTATGCAGCTGTGTATCTGAATTGTGTGGGACTCTGGAAAGAGCATGCTCTCTCCGCTGATGTTTCTATTAGGATCCTAAGTGATTGTACTTTTTCCCACAGGTTTCAGCCACCTTTGCAGCTAGTCTGGTTAGCAGCCCAGCCATTGGGGCATATCTCTCTGCAAATTATGGAGACAGTCTTGTTGTGCTAGTAGCCACAGTGGTGGCTCTCCTAGACATCTGCTTCATTTTGGTGGCAGTTCCAGAATCTCTGCCAGAGAAAATTAGACCTGCTTCCTGGGGAGCTCAGATTTCTTGGAAACAAGCGGACCCTTTTGCGGTAAATTAAGACATGAAAATATTTATTTCCTATATATCTCTTTTTTCTAAGAAGGATTCACAATAGTTGTCTATTTCTTTTACAGTAAAAATTGAAAAACATTAATTACAAGTAAGGGGCTAAGAGACTGAGAAACATATAGACTTAGCAATTAAGCTGTGTAAATCATAAGACAAAAGGTACCCTCAAGGAAATGGTTGTTTTTATCACTTAATTAAATGAATGAATGAAGATGGTTGAAGAGGGAGGTATTAGGAAGTATATCATACTAGCAAGAAATAATACTGGAATACATATCTTTATCCCCCTCTCTCTCTCTGCCACACCTACTTCTATAGAACAGTTGTAAACCAGATCGTGTGGGCTTGTGTAGGCCACAGGTGGATATCTGCTTTCATCCTCTATTACTGTTGGCCTTATTTTTTGAGTTAGTTTCCACTGAACCTGGAGCTCATTAAACTCGCAAGAGTACCTGACCTGTAAACTCCAAGAATCTTCCTGTCTCTTTCTTCTTAGTACTAGGGTTATAGGCAAGCACCATAGCACCTAGCTTTTTTGTGAGTGTTGAAAATCAAACTTGGTTTCTTTTGCTTGTATAGCAGACACTTACCAACTGAATCATCTCCCCAAATCCCTTGAAATTATTTTCTAAAATGATCACTCAGATTACTTCCTGGAGATCTTGCCTGTTTCTCTTGTGTGTGTTATATTGTCAAAATAGTGGGAGAGGAGTTGGAGAAAGGAAGCAGGAATGGGTAGAAAATTTGCAAGCTTTTCCTTTTTTGCCTTGTGATCAAGTTACATGTAGAAACTTCTCTGTAAAACAGAACTACTATGGCTTATTTTTCAGGGCAGCTATAAGGACTCTAGTTAACATGTGTAAGTTAACTGGTCTAATGTCTTACGTAGCAAGGTTTTAGTAGACATTAGTTGTTTTGTGTATTATGGTGACCTAAAAGTTCTATGACACTTGTCATTCAGTAATAAAAGTTTTAGAACTTACTAATTGTCTTCTTGGTTGCGGGCAACTTGAATATCAACAGTTTGTGAAGACTAAAATGAATTTATGTATAATAAAAACCATGGAAGAGACAGAAGGGACGATCAGAATGTCATTCTCAGCTTCATATTGAGTTTGAGATCAGCCTTGGCTACGTGAGACCCTGTGTCAGAAAAAGAAAGAAAACCTTGTAGTTAAAATTACTTAGAAGAAATTACTTTACAAATCCAGAGAAAATCAATTTTTCCTAGTTGTGTAGAAATTTTTTTTCATGATCTGTTTATAGGATGTTCAGTTTCTCTTATACAAGAGACATGAAAATGGTGAAGTAAGTATCAAAAGAACATTGACATGTGTGTTTTCACTTTCTGCTTATTCCCAGTCATTAAAGAAAGTTGGAAAAGATTCTACAGTCTTACTCATCTGCATCACAGTGTTTCTCTCATACCTTCCTGAAGCTGGGCAGTATTCAAGCTTTTTTCTCTATCTTAGGCAGGTGAGTAGCAGGTCTCTAGAAGCCTTTCAACATGTAGAATATCAGAGATTGGGATTTTTCTAAGATAAATCGAGGAAACCATCGTTTCTAGAGACTTTATAAGCAGGGACCTTGTATAATCCAGTGATTTCAGTGATGGCCTCATAAGTAACTGGAACTACAGGTATGTATAATGATGTCTAGCTTCTTGCTGAGGCAGGGGTGTTGCTTTTATCAGAGTTTAAGAACAGTGTGGGCAATATAGTAAGACATCTACTGTGCAAGTTCCTTTAACAGAGAGAATTATCAAAAACAACAATCTGAGGCTTTTGAGACTGTACACCTAGTTTGTTGGCATAGAATTCACTGTGTAGACTAGACTAAGATTGAACTCAGAGCTGTCTACCTATCTTTGTCTCCCAAGTGCTGAGATTAAAGTCATCCACCATCAAGTCTGGCTCTGAGACCCTTTTCTAAAATAGGGTTTAGATTGAACTAAATACAGAGCTGTCATTATCTCTTCGCCACAGGTACACAGTTGGTACCAAAGTGGTTCATATGGTACATTTTATGAGTCTATATACTTATACATTAGCACTGTTGAATCTATAGTTTGTGATAAGGTCATTGTTGGTTTTGCTTTTATGTTTTAGTGAATAAAGCTGATAATAATAGGCTGCCTCCACCTCCCTAAGCACTAAAATTACAGGCATAAACTAACCCGCCAGTTCAGATTTTGTAATTGAATATGAGGTAGTAATAGAAAAGCCAGAGGTTCTAACCCTAGAATGTTCATTGTCTAATTGTGATTGGGAGGAAGATATTTATGAAGTAAACCTATATAAGTTTATTTTTAATGTATTTTCCTATATTTTATAGAATTTTAGTAGAGGACAAAGTAATATATTTTTTAAAAAAAGTATTAGTTATTTCACAGTTACTATTATAATTGGAGGTTTAGAAGTCATTGCCAGTCAGACTCAGCTCGTACTTAGAATTGTATGGGAGATTTTTAGAGTACACCTATCTTAGGACCATACCTCAAAGTCTGATGTAATTGGTCTTCAGTGGGTTCTGGCATCCTATTGTTCTTCTCCCTTTCCTTCCCTTCTGTCATTTTCTCTGTTGCCCACATAAATTTAAAATACAACCAGACTCAAGAGCCACTGACTTCACTTAAAGTCCAGTTCTGCTTTGACAACATTAAAAGTCAGATTGCTTTCTTTTACATTTTCTTTATTGTATGATTTCATTGTCTCCAAACTGAGATAGACTCATTAAGAGAGGAAATACAAAACATCAGGCATAATAACATTTTTTAAAAATTCACAATTCATCCCTACTAATTATAACTATTTTATGTTATATTTAAATATAGATTAATAGTTTTTTTTTTTTCAGTTTCTGTCTCTGTCCTAATTTCTACTGTTTTTGTGAACTTTCCTCAATTATTTTTTCTATCATTTCTTATTAATTATATCTCTAGTACCTGTATTACAAAACTGGTCTTTTTGTTTTATTTTGCTTTTATTTTTACAGGTTATAGGTTTTGGATCTGTGAAAATTGTAGCATTCATAGCTATGGTAGGAATTCTGTCCATTGTGGCTCAGGTGAGTTTTTTTTTTTTTTTTTAAACATGTGGGTTAAAGAGGCAAAGCTTGTTGTTTTTTTTTTTTTTTTTTTTTCTTCAATCCTGATAACCTCAGATCTGTAATAAGTCAAGGATACAAGTTTCTAAGAGTTCCTCCAAACTGTTGCCTCAGCTGCTTAGCTCTTGCTGGAATGCATCTTGCTCGTGTAGAGAACCTCACTGAATTCAGGTAGCTGACAGGGACCCAGCTCACAAAACTGGGTCATTCACAGACTATTCAGGTCCTCAGGATTCAGTAGAACTTCATACAAATTTCATTAGAATGTTGTTTGTAATTTGTTCTGGATAAGCTCTTCTTATATACTTCCAAAACAACTAGATTAAGGGGGTGGTGAAATGATTCAGCAAGAGATGCTTGTTACCAAGCAATGACCTGAGTTCAGTCTCCAGAATCTACATGGTAGAAGAAGAAAACTAATTCTTGAAGATTATCCTCTGACCTTCATGTACTTTCTGGGACATCTGTACAAACATGGAACAAATAGGTATTAAAACTATTTTAAAGGAAAAATAACAATATACTATAAAATTAACCAGAGGAATATGTTTCATTGTTTCCTTAATAGCAAAAGTTAGATAGAAATAAATGTTTTCCAGATCCTGCTATTTCCAGGACTAAACAAATAAGAATCAGTACATTATAATATATGCAGTGAGTGAATAGCAGTAAACACTTTCCAACCTATTAAAATTGTCAATCCAGAAAGACAAGGGTGTATGTCCTGTTGTCTTTCAGGAGCATTCAGTGCAGCTTTTGTGGATTGCCTAGAGGCTTGTTTGCTTAAAATGGCATTTAGGCCAAGCTTCCTATTCTTCTGTGATTAATTCTCTACAGAGGAAATGAGAAGTCTGGGGAGCTAACTTGTCCTACCAAATGAAAGAATGACAAAGCTGTTGGGAATATATGCAAGCAAAGACTGTTCTTTGCTGTTTTGTTTTGACTGTATCCACAAATTCAGCTTATGCTAAATGTCCAAGTTTGTTGTGATTTTCATTTGTTTTTTACAATAACTTTAGCTGTTTGTCCTTAGGTATCTTTATCTTCATTTTCATACTGTCTCTACAAGTTGTATTTAACAGAATATATATTTATTAAAGCTCATATCATTCTTAATTTTGTGAAATTGTTAACTGCTGAACATTAAATGCTTGTTGACGTTCTCCAAAGAAGACTAAGGTGTAGTCCTTTCAGTCATGATAACTGGAGTGCAGCTGTATTAACCTTTTGAGAGGTACTAGCAGAGAACCAGCCAGATGGCTTCTCTGGAAGAAGGTCAAAAGCTTCAAACCCTGGTCAGCACTAGAGCTCCTGAAACTATTTCTGAAGAGTTATCACTACTGCCTGGCCTTAGGGATCATAGACTGTCAGTGTTCCCCTAAAGGTTCTTGCATCAGTGAGTAGACTTCACTAAAAGAGCTTATGCTCTGAATTTGAGATTGCGATCAAATTCTTCTCATATGGCTTCTCAGAGTTGTCTTCTTTCCTTTGCAGACAGTCTTCCTTAGCAGATTGATGAGATCACTAGGGAATAAGAATACTGTCCTCCTTGGCTTGGGTTTTCAGATGCTCCAGCTTGCCTGGTATGGTTTTGGATCTCAGGCCTGGTAAGCCTCTCTTAATTCACATATTATCAAAACAAAAAGACTGAATTAACAGATGTGATGAGCCTTAGAGGAGCAAAATCATTTAACTATGTTAAAAGAAGGGTTATTTCATTAGTTTGATGTACTGAACATTTCACTCATGAGCAAGAGTGGAACTAGATGATTTGATATGACCTATAATGATTCTTACTAAATCTGGAGTCATTGCTTAATTGAATGTGTGTTCTCATCTACCAGCCCTCTAATAAAGTTCTCATGAGCTCATGATCTCTTTCTCTCTTCTGTTGTTCTCCTCCTCTCCCTCTCTCCTTCTTTTCTTTTTTTTTTTGTGGCAGGTGGGTTTATATTTGGTTTTTGAAAGTCATGTATTGTAGCCCAGGCTGATCTTAAACTTATAGTAATTCTGCCTAGGCCTCTTGATACTGGTATTATAGGTATGTGCCACCAGATGACTTTGTGTCCACTTTCTCTTTTAACTGTTTGAGTATATATGTTTTGATTAGATATATTCTCTATTCCCTCCATTCTAATTTTTCCTGTATGTCCATTACCACTTTTCCCTTACTTCATGTGATCTTTTGCTTTTAAATTCACTATGTCCACTTGGTACTATTTCTCTGTGTAGAAGTATAGGACATCTACTGGAACATGAGTAGCTTCTCATGGGCTGTCTTTAAAGAAAATTGACATTCCCCACCCCCTTTCCCCAGAAGCTATCAGTTGTCAGTTAGCTCTTTTGATTAGGATGAAACTTAATGAGCTCCTCCGTCCATGCTCGTATTTTGGCTGGCTAGATCTTTTGCAGGTCTTGGTGTGAGTTCATGTGTGCAACAGTGCTGTCACGTCTGGCAAATATTGTTTTACTGCTGCACTACCTTTCACTCTTAAAATGTTTCCCCTTCCCTCTTTTCGAATGATCCCTAAGCCCTGTGGGAAGGAGGTGTGATACAAATGTCTGGTTTAAAAGTGAACACTGAAGTCTTATCCTCTGTAATTTTACTCCTAAACATATTTATACAGTTTCAGGATATGATATATAATCAAAACAAAAAGACATTGAATAACAACTGATTATAGCATGCTTTGCTGATATACTTAACTTAGTAATATAACTATCATAAAATAAATCAGTGATCAACACCAATGCTTTCTCTAAAGTGTATCCTAAGTTAGTTTTAAGTATTTATATTTTAGCTTCCTGTAAATGGAAAGAATGATCAAATTAAGGCCTATTAATAAAAAAGAACAGAAAGAGTCCTATCGAAGTAATTATTTAAAATCGGCCACTGGTCAACTATCTAAGCTGCGGAGGCTCTGTCTTGCTTAACCGCCATGTTTCTCAGCTGGAGCCCACATGTGCGCTGCAGCTAGAAATGGGAAGCCAGAAACACCAGCCCTGCCACCCACTAGACGTCAGCGTGGGAGATGGCTCTGCCAATCTTCCACGCTGTCTCTGCAAGGCTGGGCATTGCCCAGACCATCCCGCCATCCACATGGGCCCAGTAGGAAAATGAGATTAATGTTTAAATTATCCAAAAGCTTATATATTTGGTAATGATCAGTAACAAGGTGCCCATACAATCAGAAGTGTAACCCAATACCCAACCTAGATATACCAAGTACTTTTGACTGCTACAGACATATGAACATCTGCCTCCATGTCCCCTCTCTCTCCTTCTTTCTCCTAGCTCCTCCTCTTCCTTTTCTTCTCCTTCCTCCTCTTCTTCCTCTCCTTCCTCCTCCCACCTTAGCTCCTCCTACAGAGTCCTGAGTTCCATTTTTTTTTTGAATATGGCAAGTTTCCTTATGAATCTGATTGCTGAATATTGCAGAGTCTCGGTCTCCATATTAGACATGAATTAGTTTCTACTTTGCATTCATAAGTGGAGCTATTAGAAATGTTTTATATCAATAGAGATTAGTTGGGAAGAAGATATATGAAATGCTGAATTTCATTTGAAACATTTGTTCTGTATTACATTTTGCCTAAGATTAACTTTGCTGGTCCTCCTCCTCTTCTTTTTTTGAGGGGTTGGGGGTGGGGTCCTGTGAACTCTGGTTCAGTTATCTAGCTAATCAAAATGCTATGTGTTAAAAAAAGACTTTATGATAATGAAGTTTTTCATTTTCAGTAAAGACTATCCCAAGGAAATATATAGCTCAATAAGAGCCTTGGACTTTACTTCTCATATTGTTATGACTCACACATAAACATTTTTCTCCAAACTGAGAAAAGGACTAAGATCTGAAGCAAACAGTCTTTGTTCATTCATTTGGTAGCAGACAGCGGTATTGAAGCTGACAGACCACATAGCCCAAGGGTATTTATGAAAGACAGGAAGTCAGTGGAGGTGTGTGTGAGAGGGAGGTGGATAGAGATGTGATATTTATTTAAAACAAATAAATAAAGAAAACAGACATCCTTTTAGGAACTTTATTGAGCCTACAGTTGAAAATGGCACTGGGTAACTTGTGATCAGTTTTAATAGTATGGATTCTTTCACACAGAGACTTACTTTGTAGCCTAGACTGGCCGTGAACTCAAGCTACTTCTACTTGAACCTTTTGAATGCTGAGATTACTAGGATTACTGAGAAAGCCATGTCATGCCCAGGAAATCTATCTTTAAAGAGGGAAAAATACATATAATGGAAATGAAGAAACTGCAAAGCATTTGTACTATTACCACTGACCATATTGACTAGAAGCATCTTAAAGCCTGACTGAAGCTTCCCTTCATCTTTCCAGGATGATGTGGGCAGCAGGAACTGTGGCTGCCATGTCAAGCATTACATTCCCAGCAGTCAGTGCCCTCATCTCTCGGAATGCAGAGTCAGATCAACAAGGTGAGATTTGTCCTCCTTGCATTTGTGTTTTCAGCTGGAACCTCTCTGCCCTGAAGTATGAAATCATACATTCTCCACAATGACAGTAATAGCAATTGACAGTAGTGGCCCCTGTTGTAAGAGTGTACCTGCTTATTTTGTCAGTAGCGTTCTGTTTGCCTCTTTACTGACACTCACACTTTAGCAATCCAGAATCAGCCAGTCAGGTTATTACATTATTAAGAGTTAGAAATAGCAAAGATCTATTTCCAGCCTCAGTTCTGATTCTATATTGCCATCAGGATTAACCAGTTTATAATCTTATTTCAGCAGATTTCTGTTAATAACAAATTGGTAATGGAATATTCACTAAAGTTAAGTTGAAATAATTCAGTCTTAGAAGCTTAATTTAAGAAATGGATCTTTGAAAGGATGAAGAAAAATCTGTTTGGTTGTTAGTGATTGGATATAAGGAGAAATAAAATAAGTTAGAACTACTGTGTAGAAAATAAACGTTATTTCTTCTTCCTCTTCCTGTTTTCTTTTTTAGCAAATTCCAATGCCAAAATTAACCCCTTTTTCTCCATCTTCTAATGGCCCACCTTACTGTAGCCAGGAAGTAGGAGATTTTATCTCATTTTTTATTTCACTGTAAATTTTCATTGTAATATTCATTTGTGTTACAGGAAAGTGGAGAATTTTAGAGGACTTTTAAGAGAATTTTAGGACATGCATGCATGCATGCATGTGTGTGTGTATGTACATGCCTAAAATAACATATATAAACATACTGGCTTGATTTTGTTTCATGCCAGTGTCAAACTCAGTGCCTAGAATATAGTAGGCTAGACCTCTGTCCCTAAAAGGATTTTTTTTTTAAACTCTTAAGAGGACTTTTAAATTTTTCAACAAAAATTAAAATTTAAGAGAGTATATTCATTATCATGATACCTATTTTTCCACTTAATGAATTTGCTGTTATATGTATCCATTCTTAGATTCATGGACTTTAAGTGACACCCTTTGTGTGTCACCATTAGCTGCAGTAACTCAGCTGGTATGAATACTATTAAACTTGACTATTTTTGACTTATAGAAATATCCATTTCATACTTATCCATATTCATATTAATGTTTTGCTTACTGTGTTAGAAAGTAGAGATATCTAGAAATTGGTGCTTCCAGAATTTTTGAGTGGAGGTCTGAATGAGATGGAAGATTGCAGATGACAACCCAAGGGCAGGAGGATCCTGTTTGTATTCTAAACTGCTGAGGAACAGACATATTTTTTTATTGTACATGAACAACTAAACGGGACTAGGAAGTCCTAATCCATAGAAAAAATTAAATTACCTCATAAAGGATTATATTTTATTATTTTTCATTAAATGGTAGATATAGTCCAAAAGGATTTCAGAAACTGAGTTTATTTTTTCTCCTTGTAAACCTATTCAATAGATGTAGTATATCCAAAAAAACATTTGTATAATGAATGAAAATATCATGATGAAACCTAATGACTGTAATAGATGCTATAACATAATTAGCCTAAGCTATGATGACTCGGTCCAGTCAAATATGTGTGTCATGATATGATAGAGATGCTAGAGAAGCTCTGAAGGTTGACGCACTTTTCTAAGAAGACTGACTTCCCTCTCGTTTCGGTTTAGGGGTTGCCCAGGGGATCGTAACTGGAATACGAGGGCTGTGCAATGGCCTAGGGCCAGCACTGTATGGCTTCATATTCTATATGTTCCATGTTGAACTGAGTGAGTTGGGCCCAAAGTTGAATTCTGATGATGATCCCCTACAGGTAATTTGGTGACCTGTGTTATAATAATGGTTGTATTTGATTATCGCATAATCTTATAGCTTTAAATTTCTGTTTGTTTATTATCATTTTACTTGGAATCAGAAAATATGTATCTGTACTTTATATTCTTTTTTCACCTATATAGTCACTATGAATAGTAAGCTATTGTCTGACTAAATTGAATCTAAGAAGAAGTTACCTAAAAATCTAACTAAAGGGACTTGGAATGTAGCTCAGTTGGTAGGTGCATGCCTAAAATGTACAAAACTCAAAAGTGTGATGGTACATGCTTATAATTCTAGCACTCAGAAGGTAAAGGCCAGAGATCTTAATTTCAGGATGCATTCTTGGTTACATAAGTATGAGGCCTGCCTGGGCTACAAGAGTCCCTGTCTTTTTTTTTTTAAACTTGCTCAAAATTGAGCTAATGTGCTTTCATTTTTAAAAAGAGAAACATAGAAACATTTAATATAGAATTCTGTATAAGCATGAAATTATTAATGTTCATATGTAGAAATGTATGACCTGAGGTCATAAGAAAATATTACAGAAAGAAAATTGTTGCTTTTGGACATTATTGGTTAGGTTCTATTAATTAGAAATGGTATAAAAAGCAATGATTAGTTACTCTATATTATTTTCCAAACATTAAACTGTATTAGAATTTACATTGGATAATGAAATATACAGGCTTATGAGAAAAGTATTAACTGTATTGTGGCTTTAAAAAAAATCATTCAAAACTAGTTTAGAGTTTAAGAAAAGAGCCTAACCATGCTGGGTATAGGAATGCATGCTTCTAATCCTAGCATTTGGGGGGGAGGGTATTGGCAGAAGGGTTGTGATGTTAAAGCCACTCTAAATAGCACAAAATTCTGTCTTAAAACAAAACAAAAAGCCTTAACTAAACTTTGTCTTCATTTGTTTTTCTTAATCCATCAGGGAGCTTTCATTCCAGGCCCGCCATTTTTATTTGGAGCATGTATAGTTCTTATGTCTTTTTTGGTTGCCTTATTCATCCCTGAATACCGTAAAACCAGTGGAATTCAAAAACATAACAACAGCATCAGTGGCAGCCTAAGCACGCCCCCTGAACAGGGCAGTGATGAGGACATTGAGCCATTACTGCAAGATAGCAACATTTGGGAGCTTTCCTTTGAAGAGCCTGGAAATCAGTGCACTGAGCTATAACCCAGGAGTAATGGAGATTATGCAGACACCATCTCTGAGAGCCATAGAGGAAGCTGCACCACATGGAGACTTCATGGTGCTGGAGGGGCGATGCTAGCAGCATCCTTTGGGCCAAGTTTAATAAGTTACTCTCCCCATGCCTCTGCCCTCTTCCCTTCACTCTTCTGTCTCTCTCTGTTCTTTTACTCCCATTCTCTTTTCTTTTCTTTTTTCTTTCCTTTCCTTTTCTTTTTCTTTTCTTTTTCTTCTCTCTCTCTCTCTCTCTCTCTCTCTCTCTCTCTCTCTCTCTCTCTCTTTCTTTTTGCTTTTTATATATTCTAGGAAAGATTGAAAATTCTTCAAGGTTGTTTAGAATCTAGACTTTAAAACTTATTAAAGTTTTAAGAAAAATCATGTCTGTGGTAGGAAAGGTGATCTTTCCCTTCAGTAACTAGAGTAAGAGTGACAGCAATTTTTCTATGCCCTTTTTGGTGGAAGATTGGGGCAATGGTGTTAACTGCCTCCTTTCATTATCTTTCTGTGAATCATTTCCTCTTAGTCTGTAAATGTTGATGAGTTGATAAGAATCACTTGGTATTAGGGATCTACTGACTTTGTCCACAGGTTGGATGAAAACCTAGTTTTGCTTTCCCTTTATTTTCACTACTTCTTAAGCTTCTCGAGAATGGACGTTATTAATATTGATCAATGATTCTTTATCAGATAAAGGAAATCTTTCTTAGAAAATTCAAATTATGTTGAACAAGAAGTTCAGACTCTTGGACTTTGTGTCCTGATTGAGGTTAGTCTTGGCAACATACTAATACCCTATCTCAAGGCAAAACAACCAACCATGAAGCTTTCTAGTGGCAACAAAGAAATCAGAGTATACTTCAAGAAAAGTTTTTTGTTTACTGTTTTGTTTTAAAATTTTAAATATTGCTAAAAGGGGAGAGAGTAACAGATAGCAATGGAGTTTATTTCTAAGTTCATACTCATATGTTACTGTATGTTCTTTCCCATGTCTCCTTGTCCTACTTCCGTTTTCCTTACCATACTCCTGCCTTAACTGTTAATGTAAAATGTGTTTGTTTTTGTCTAACCTGTATCTTGGTATGTTCCTCTGAATCCCCTAGGAATGCGCGCATCAAATTCCTTTCTAGAATATGAGGGTTAGTGAAACTCAGTTTCATGATAAGTGTCTTGCTAATTTTTGAGATGTTTTATGGTCAAAGAAAATTACAGATTTTATATTTTGCTGCACAGTAAATGGACTATTAACTTGGGTCTATCTTCAACAAAGTACTCCTTTGAAAGTTTTATAGGTATGAAAACATGTAGATATTTGTAAGGATTTTAATTTTTTTGATGGGGGTGCTGTGTAAATCTTGTATTTATAAATAATGAAGGTATTGACAGAAAAATATATACAACTTTTATAAGGGATCATGTATTGACTGAATACATTTAAAGGAAAATATATTTTGAAGCCTGTTCTGCCATGAACAGATATAACATATCTTTTTACTATGCTGTTGGTTTTTAGGTTAAGCTTCCTAATCCATAATAAATTTTCAATGGATACTTACATGGCTTAAAAAGAATTTCTGTCATTTCTCTTTTGGATTCTTTTGGGGGGATGACTATCAACATAACTGAGTTAGTAGTCCTTCAACTAATTAAAAAATGGTTTAAAAAATCATTTTAAAAGTTTCTTGAAAATCACCCATCAAACATAAGTCACATTTATAGAAACTTGAACACTGCTGCTATGGGTGTAGAGATATCTCTTCTTGTTCCTAATAGTTAGATGGTACAAAAACAAAACAAAAACCAGAATCTGGAGAAAATACTTGCTGTTCTTGATGAGGAAAGAGTTCAATTCCCAGCATTCACATTGGGAGGATCACAACTGCTGCAACTCCAGCTTCAAGAAATGTGACACCTTCTAGCTGTACTTATTTGCACAAATCTACACTCAAGACACTCCTGTTGTTGCACTATATCCATATTATTATGGCCATTATTACAGATACACTGCTATGTGCCAGGCCCTGCTGGATACTTAGTCAGGATTTCTATTGCTGCAATGAAACACCATGACCAAAAAGCAAGTTGCGGAGGAAAGGGTTTATTTGGCTTACAGTTCTACATCACTGTTTTTTATTAAAGGAAGTCAGGACATCAATTCAAACAGGGGAGGAACCTAGAGATAGGATTTGATGCAGAAGCCATGGAGGAGTGCTACTTACTGGCTTCTCATGGCTTGTTCAACCTGCTTTCTTACAGAACCCAGGAACACCAGCCCAGGGGTGAACTGCAATGGGTTTGGCCCTCCCCCATAAATCACTAATTAAGACAAAGCACACTACAAGCTTGCCTATAGCTTCATCTTATGGAGGCAATTTCTCAGTTGAGGTTCTCTCCTCTCAGATAACTTTAGCCTATGTCAGGTTGACACAAAACCACCTAAAACAATTGGCCTCTTGTCAAACTGACAAAAAATATATTACTATTACCATTAAACCACCTTTTCTTTCTCATTTATCCCCAAGATCTCACCTTATAAATATAAATAACTTTACAAATTTACAAATTTAAACACATTAAAAGTTCAGTCTCTAAGACACCCAGTTTCTTAAAATTCAGTCTTTTAAAACTAAAATACTCTCAACTATGGACTTCTATAAAATCACAAATAGATACTTCAAGAGGGAAGAACCAGGGTACAATCACAGTCATCAAACCAAAACTAAACTCCACATACATAAATAACACAATGTCTGAAATTCACCCATGGTCTTCTAGGCTCCTAAAAGGGTCTTGAGTCACTTCACCTCTGCAGCACACACAGCTTGTCTTCTAAGCTCTAGTTAGCTCCACTTCTCTGCTGCTGCTGTTTTTAGTGGTCATCTCATGGGACAAGTATCTCCAAAATAATGGGATTTTCTGCTGTATCTGGGCATCAGGAGTCCATCAGGGCCTTTTAGCTAGCGATATATATGGGGTATGCTCTAGAGGGCAACAGAACTTGATGTTCAGCAGAAGTTGATATCTCAAGAACATGTGGAGTGAGAGGTTTCCTGCAAGGGCTGATACCTGAAAGTTCCATGTTCTAGACACACCTTCCACTATCACTGCTTCATATACACTGCTGATTTTCATTCTATGTGAATACTCCTCTTTTGGCATCCCATATAAATGTGTAAAGCATTAAGCCTTAACTGGGCAACTCACCACTGTAGCTGCACCACATACATTTTGGATATCAGACCCTATTGGACAACCTTACACATACATACCCCAACTGAAATATGTTCTTGCTGGACACTGTCCTTTGGCAAAGCCACATGCACTAGGTTCAGACCCTGCTGAACCTACCTGCCACATCATCACATACACTATAAGGTCCTCTTGGCCACCACTCTACCATTACAGCTCAAATATACTGCTAGGAATCAAGCTCTGCCTGATAACCCTCTGAAACCCCATGTACAAGTACTGTTTCAAGTACAAAAGGACCCCCTCCCAATACATAAACTGTCCCACATAAAATGCTAAGTATTGGGCCTTACTAGACAACCTTACCACCCATTGCTGCTAAGCATACTCTGCTATTCATCAGAGTTTGTGGAACATTCTCCACAACTCACTACCTGCACTGCTAGATGCTACTCCTCTACACCAAAATCCCACAAAGAATGCTTTGTATCAGGTCCTGCTGGGTACTCCCAACCCTACCATCACTTCACAGTCTGCCTGATATTTAGCTACGTCTATGCAGGGCTAACTTAAGGCTACGGTCCAGTTAGACCTGGTACCTAGGATTTGTATGTGGGGCGACTAGGGGTGGTGTGCAGCATGGTCTGAAATCTAGCAGTCTGTGTCAGGCTATGATAGGGATGGAACTGCATAACCAAAGCAGCCTGATACTAGCACTTTATTTGGAGATAGGGAAAGTTTTAGCAATATATATGGGTTAGGGCAGGGGGTGTTAAGTAGGGCCTGATAACTAGCAATACTGTGTGTGGGCATCAGAGTGTGTGTGTGTGTGTGTGGGGGGGGTGTCTAGCAAGGCCTGAAATCTAGTAGTTCATGTGAGGTGGAGGGATAGTAGGACATAATACTTAGTAGTGTTTAGGGGGAAGCAACAGGGAAGGTGTCCAGAAGAGCCTGATTCTTAGCAGTAAGGCAAGTAGTAGCAAGGTGTTGTCTGGCATGATCTGATAATCTAGAATTTTATGTGGAATGGATGTTCAAAGGAGCCTAATACTTGGCAGTGCATGTACCATCTGATATTTATACTCTTATATGTGGCAGCATTGAGGGGTGGTATTCAGTGGGGCTTGATAAATTGCATTGCATCTTGGGTGTCAAGCTCTCACTGCACACAAAATGTGGGATGAAGTGGAGGTATTGAGCTGGAACTGGTATGTACTCGTGTGTGTGTGTGCAACAAAAGAGAATGGAGTCTCCATCAGGGCTGGAAAACTATCATTGTATAAGGGTTCATTGTAGGGTAGAATGTCCAGTAGGTTCTGATAGCTATTGTGTGTGGGACAACAGCCTAGGAGGCTGGATAGAAGGTCAGGTACCTAGAAGCAAAGGAGTGACAGGAGCATGTCCAGCATGTCCCTATAACTAGAAGTATATGTGGAATGCTATAGCAGGGGAGAGGGAAGCTTGTGTCCAACAGAGCCAGATTCTTAGCACTTTATGTGGAGAAAGGGGAGGGGTCTAGCACAATGATTCTCAATCTTCCTAATGAGACCCTTGAATAGTTTCTCTAAGAAGTATATATAGATATGATGAGTGGCCAGATACATTCAGGGCCTAATCCCTAACAGTATTGTGATTCCAATTGGAAGTCTAGCAAGGCTTGATACCTAAGAGTATACAGGCTGCTGTGTGGGAGGGAGTTACATAGCCTAATCCCTAGGAGTGTGAGTTGGGTGGTGATAACCCACCCACATAAGGTGTTAGGTATTAGGCCAAGCTAGATACTTCCTTCTACCACCAAGATAACCTGTCACTTCCACATATAAGCTTCTACATTATTAGGTCCTGATGGACATCCCAACTCTTTTGTCATCTCACATACACTGTTATCTGTCAGGACTTGCTTGAACCTCACTCCATACCCCTGCATACCCTGCCCCTTAGCAGTGTAGTAAAGCAATGCCTGTTGGTTGGCATCCAGCAGGGCCTGATATGTAGCAATGTATGATGGGTGGCAGAAACAGTAGTAGAATATCCTGTAGAGTATGTTATGTAGCATTGTATGTAAGTTACTACATACAATGTAATTATTAATCTAGTTGAGCCTGATACCCAAACATTTATCAGACAGTGACAGGAAGGTATCTGGCATAGACTTTAAATTATCAGTGTATGTTGGTCAGCAACAGGTAAAGTATGACTATCATGACCTGAAACTTAACACTTTATGTGGACAGATGAAGTATATTCAGCTGACTCCTGCCATTGTGCTAGACTCCTCCCCTTTCTCCACATAAAGTGCTAAGAATCTGGCTCTGTTGGACACAAGCTTCCATCTCTTCTGCTATACCCCAACCCTGCTGCCAACTCACATACATTGCTAGGTATCAGGCTATATACTGCACACCCCCACCCGCCAATGCTCTCAAATATATTGCAAGGTAACAAGTCTTACACACTGCTTCTTTTCAGGCCTGGATAGCAGCACAACTGTCACCCAACCCCCACATTTTAATGTATCAGATCTTGCTGGATGTACTTCCCTAGCCCACAGCTTTATGACCCCACCTAAACTTCTGGACATATGCACTTATTAGACATCATCTCCAACACTCCAGCCAACATATAATGGTACATACCAGATCCTGCTGGACAGTACCAGTTGCAGCCTCTTTCACATATATTTATCAAGTTCTACTAATAACACACAGATACCAACACATATAAACTTCTTGGTATATTCTGATGAACATGATCACTCCTGGCTACAGTAACACATAAAGTACTATGTATCAGGAACAAATGGAGACCCTGCTCCCATCTCATGTAAAGTTCTAAACAGGACATGCTAACCACAGCCCTTGCTGCTGCTCAATATTATCAGTCCCTGCTGAATACCTTCATATCCATACATACCTATATACAATGGAAGGTACAAGGTCCTGCACTATCACATCCCACCTTGACCCTACCCCCCCAAATTGTAGTAATCCATATCTTTTTGGGCACTGCCCTTCAGCCCTAATTACGTTTAAATATCAGGTTTAACTGGACCATTCTCCATTCCATAGTAACAGGCTTTACTGGAACACACACACACACACACCAACCATCACCACTGTCCTTCATAGACTCCTGGATTTCAAACCATGCTGGATTTCAAACCATGCTTTTTTCTCACAGAGAAAAAAAAAGAAGAGATGAGGGGAGGGGAGGGGAGGAGAAAGAAAAGGAG